AGGAGGGTATAAAGAGTAAAGGAAGAGGAGGAGGAAGAGGAGGAGAAGGAGTAAAGAAGGAGGAGGAGGAGGAGAAGGAGTAAAGATGGAGGAGGAGGAGGAGGGTAGGAATAAAGGAGGAAAAGGATGAGGAGGAAGGAGAGAAGAAGAAGAAGGAGAAGGAGGGTAGGAGTAAAGGAGGAAGGAGAGAAGAAGAAGAAGGAGAAGGAGGGTAGGAGTAAAGGAGGAAAAGGATGAGGAGGAAGGAGAGAAGAAGAAGAAGGAGAAGGAGGGTAGGAGTAAAGGAGGAAGGAGAGAAGAAGAAGAAGAAGGAGGGTAGGAGTAAAGGAGGAAAAGGATGAGGAAGAAGGAGAAGGAGGAGAAGGAGAGAAGAAGGAGAAGGAGGGTAGGAGTACAGGAGGAAGAGGAGGAAAAGGAGGAAGGCAGGAGTTGAAGAAAAGAGGAGGATGAGGAAAAAGAGGGGGAAGAGGGTAGGAATAAAGGAGGAGGAGGAGGAGGAGGAGGAGGAGGAAGAGGAGGAGGAGGATAAGGATAAGGAGGAAGGAGAGAAAGAGGAGGAGGAGGGTAGGAGTAAAGGAGGAGGGGGAGGGGGAGAAGGAAGGTAGGTGGGTAGGAAGACAGGAGTATAGGAGGAAGAGGAAGAGGGTAGAAGAAGAAGAAGAGGAGGAGGAGGAGGAGGAGGAGGAGAGATAAGAGGTAGAGGAGGAAGGAGGGAAGGAGGAAAAGAGGAGGAGGAGAGGAGAAGACAGGGGAGAAGGGGAGAAGGGGAAAACCAGAAGAGTGAGGAAGACTGTAGGAGTAGTGGAGTACAGGAGGAAGAGGAAGAGTGGGAGGAGAGTAGGAACAGATGAGAAAGAGGAGGTGGAGAGGAGAGGAGAGGAATATTAATAATAATAATAATAATAATAATAATAATAATAATGATGATAATAATAATAATAATAGCCTTAATAACAACAATCATAATAACATAAACAACAATAATAACAAATAGTGATGTTTAACCCAATACCGCCGGGGAAAATGAATAAAATAAGGGGAAAATGCTGTGCTCATTTTCTACATTTTTTGTGAAATGTCTCTGCACATAGATGGCTCTGCTAGTGCTTAGCCACAAAGGAGTCAATTAATAGAACCTATGACCCTACCTGATCTGAAATGGCGGGAAAAATGCATATTTTACTAGTGCTATGAATATCGATGGTGCTATTTTTATTATAAACATTATAATTACTATAATGTTATAAACATTAGTAACAGCAAAATAAGATAATGTAAAATATTTTTGCAAATCAAAGAAAAGGGAGAGAGAGAATGAGAGAGGGAGAGAGAGAATGAGAGAGGGAGAGACAGAATGGGAGAGGGAGACAGAATGGGAGAGGGTGATAGAATGAGAGAGAGAGAGAGAGAGAGAGAGAGAGAGAGAGAGAGAGAGAGAGACAGGTTGTACTCATAACTGGCTGATTGGTGACTTAGTACAAGTGTAGCCATCTATGTGAAAAAACAATCAAACAAGTAACTCATAGTGGGTATAGCATGTATGTACACATCATACCCATCGGCACTGGGTTAAAACAATAATGTTTAAAAATAACAAGAATGTTTAAGAATAACAAAAAAAAAAAAAGTGAACATTTTCCTGAGTGAACATCCTTTGAATGAAAATTTTTGTGAAAGGAAGGCACTTGAGAAGCAGATGTTTACCAAAAACAATATGATGATGAAGATTTCCATGAACTGAAGCAATATGAAATTTAGATTTTCGTGAATAAAAAGACGGTGAACGAAAGGAATTTGTGTTCAGTGTGAAAAAGTAGTCTAATGGATAAAGTATAAGCAAGTAATGCTCACAGATACAAACAGTAATGCATGAAAGAATAAGCATCACAGTTTTAAGGTCAAAATGAGAGGAAAATAGCAAGAGTACCGGTGGAAAGAACAGTCACTGGGGAGGAATGTGAAAAAGTTTGTGGGTAATGAAGATGGAAAAAGGCAGTGATGATGAAGAAACCATTGGTGGATAATAATTCTTTAAAATATAAGAAAGGCCATAAAGGGAGAGAAAATAATATAAGTAGAAGAAGAAAAAAAAAAAAAAAAGAGAAAAAGAGCAAACTCCAAAACAAGGAGAAAATATGAGATAGATAAATAGGTATGAGGTAAGAGATATTCAAACCCTAATAAGGGTTGTTTCTTATTCCTCCCATTCATGTACTTTACCTCTAACTTGCTCATTGCGTTTTCATTTGATTGTAGCAAGGTGTCCATGACAGCTGCATTGGCATGGAGAAACAGCTTCTTGAGGTTGATGCAACTTTCTGCGATTGTCTGGATGTGGCGGGCATGGAGCCTGTTGCAAAAGATAGCTAAAGAGGCTAGTCTATGACCATGGTCCATTAGGTAACTTAACGTGGAGAGGCTAATAGGGTGATGCACTCCAGTGTAAAATCTGAGCTCGAGATGTTTCAGTTTTTCTAATCTGCCCATGCCTCCCACATCC